AGAAGAAGCGCGGAAGAAACGCAAGAAAGCGTTGAAAATGGCGAGAGTACGGAGGGGGATGGAAAGTACGAGAACCAGCGAGAAGGTCGCCAGGTTGGAAATCACGATCTGAAGAGCCACGAGAACGAACGTGAGCCCGAGGGCGTGAAGAAGGAGGAGGAGGAGGAGGAGGACACTCGACACGCGGAGAAGTATGACGTCAGAGCGGAGGATGATGTCGCGTCCGATGGCTCGCACGACACCGAGCGTCACGAGGGTGCAGCGGGTCGGGGGAAGTTCGAGAAGGGCGGGGCGACGGAACGCGAGGAGAAGCACCGCGAGAGCGACGACGAGAAAGGGGAGAAGGTAAGGCTGAGCTTCGAATCAGAATTTTTATATCGGCCATTCACTCTCGTCTTTTATTTGCTTTCTCGTTCTTGAATAATAGTGTTCGAGTTGCGAACGTTCTCGCTGCGTCTCTCGTCGACGCGAACAGAATGAACGAAAAGAAAAGGCGAATTGATTGAATGGTTTCAAGGCCATCGGTTGACGTTCAAGCTAGGAGAGAATCATTTTGCGCAGGGCTACGAAAGCTGGCACGAGCAAGAGAAAGCCAACAAAGGTCATCACGACAAGGAACAACGGAGCAATTACTACGACGAGAAGGATGCCAAGCAGAAAGAGCAGAAGGAGGAGGGCGGATATCACGAGCAACACCAGGAAGACGAGAAAGGCGAGAAACAGGCGGAATTCGACGAGAAGGGGAAACATCAGAAGGGCTACAACACCAAGGGACAACACTTTGTCCACAAAAAGGTAAGTTTCGCGCGGCATCGACCTGATCTGTCTCGAACAAATTAGTACACACTAGTCTGAAAACCTGTTTTTATTCGCTCTACATATATATATATATGAGAACATTGTGTACAGTTTCATATCTTATACTACTGTGTTATTTATCTGTCTCGATCAAATTAGTTTCTTGTCTTTATTCGCTCTAAAATAGTTTATAACAGTTTATACTATTTCACACTATTACATTGTTTATTATACTATACAATGTTACAATGTATACTATACACTATATAGTACATTGTATACTAGACATTACATTTTATATTATTATTGTATTATTTTTTTACCATTACATTATATACTATATTATAGAGTACATTGTGTACTATACAGTATTACAATCTATACTGTACAATATACTACATCATACAGTAATTACACTGTACTAGACTATTACATTTTATACCATTATTTTATTATTTTTATACTATTACTACATTATATACTATACAATATACTATAATATAGAGTACATCGTACACTATACAGTAGTACAATATACTACATCATACACTAATCACATTGTATACTAGACTATTACATTTTGTACTATTATTGTATTATTTTTATACTATTACTATTTTATACTATTGCTACATTATATGCTATACAATATACTATACTATAGAGCACATCACAGTACACTATACAGTATTATAATATAATCTATACTGTACAATATACTTACATCATACTGTAATCACATTGTATACTAGACTATTACTATTATTTTATTATTTTTATATTATTACCATTTTATACTATTACTACATTATATACTATACAATACACTAGAGTACATTGTATACTATGCAGTATATTGTACACTACAGAATACGCTATTATATGATTCTCATCTTGGAAATGAACGTCGTAGGACGAGTTCGAGAAACGAACCGAGTTCTTCGACGAGTCCCACGAAGACGGTGACGCGGAAAGCAACGGGGAATTGTATCACGAGGGGAAAATGTCCAAGGGTGGCGACTACAAAGCAGGCCACCACGACGCCGGCGATCACGAGCAAATGTTTGGGAAAAAGAGCGAGCACGAGGAGAGTGATCACCACCGCGATGACAAAGGTCACGAGGTTAAAGAGGGCGAGGACAGCCATCACGAACAAGAAAATATGCACGGTGAGAAGAAGAGTCATCGAGATGGAAAAGAATGGACGTACAAGAAAAGCGACGGCGCGGATGAACCTGACAAAAAGAAACACTGAGATTCTACTTCTTCATTTTCTTTTTCTTTTCTTTTTTTTTTTTTTTTTTT